ACGGCTGGTCAGTCTGTCTCCGACTCCTTCGTAAGATGAAGTGAGAAGAACACGAGTAGAACGTCCCAACCGGAGAGACATGCGCAACCCGTCTACGAGCCACGACATACCCACAGAGTAGAGCAAAGGGACAGCCCATTACCGCGCAATCGCACGTCCGCCATCATCCACGTACATGAGACACCCGCAGCGTCTGCAAATCACCCAGATTATCCATGCATAATATCACGTCCAGCTACAACGCCTAAACACTTGCCCAACTCACATCCTCTGCGCCTGCGACGAGACCTCGGGCCGAGGGCTGGCCGGCAGTCCTCCTGCCCCGAGGTTCTGCAACGCAATACGATGATCGTCCCCGCCCATTGACGCAGTATGTACCGACAGAGACAGCTCTTTCTCACCCGCCCACCCTGCTGTTTTCGCTTGACGCACAGCAGCCGCAGACGGGTACCCCTCAGCGCGGGGCGTCGACGAGTAATGACCCGAAGACTGAGAGTCCGTAGTGCGAGTTTGATCCTCCGGCTCTGTCCCATTTTCCTCCGAATCTGCCTCGGACGCCGAATCTTCCAACGCTATGATTAGCACACAGTTCGAACAGCTGAACCCTCCACCTCACCTGGTTCAAGTGACCGGCCGCCGAGACCGAGCATGACGTCCGCACCGCCAGCTTGATACAGCATGCTATTACGCTTCCTCCTCACTGTCTCCTCAGTCTCGCCATCCGCCTCTACAACACCCACGGTGTCGACGCTGGGACGCGAGGTGTCATCTCCACCCTGTCCCGGCTCATCGTCGAAAATCGCGCCAAAATGCGAAACCAGCTCGGAGAAGATGCCCGCGGGGATGCCGAGCGTAGGCGAGAAGACGATCCCGATATTGCGCAGAGTCATCTTGTTGACCGCCGAGTTGCGCACGATCAGGATGAGGTGGGAGGTGAGGGCCCGGAGCAAGGCATAGTTAGGAGGAGGGAGTTCTGAGACTAAGCGGGAGAGCTCGACGACCCTAGCAGAAGAGTCGATCAAGTCTGAGGTCAGCGAATGGACTATGGCCCAGGACGATGCAGACTCACCCATGACAGCAAGGAAGAGAGGATGCAGCTCCCTCGTGAGCAGGCTATGGGGCAAGTCCCTCAAGAAGGTCTTGAGCAAACCCCCGATCGCATGTGGATCCCAGTTCTCGTCCACCTGCAACAGATTCACGTCACCTTCCTCGTCGAAACGCTCTTTCAGCCCTTTGATCACCGCCGAAGAGCCACTGAGCCGATAGATCCCTTCCTCCATCTCGGCGTGCTTCGTTTCCAGCCATTCGATACATCTGAAGACAATGGCGGGGAGGTTTGCTTTCGAGGCGATCGCGATCGACTCTGACAGCGGGACCCCAAACACCGGTGGTGAGACCTTTTCTGGCGTCTTGCCAAACGACCAGAACCGACCCGACTTGGCTTTGCGCTCTCGGTCTTTATCTCGGGGCTCCATCCCCGGGATCGTCAACCCATCGCTCGCGACCTTGGAAAGGTATGCAGCAGAGTGCGATGGCCGGTTGGGCATCATGCTTTGCCGTTTACTCGCACGAGAGGTCGGTTCGGCTGGCGAGCCGGAGGAGAAGGAATCGGACGGAGGGCCAGTGATGACCGTGATGGGGTTCGTGGAAAGACGCGTGCTGATGCTGGCCTGATCCGAGGAGCTTGACGCGGACGCATGTGAAGCGAGCGAAGGCAGCGAAGAGCTCGGAGTGATCTGCTGTGTGGTTCGTTTCGACTCCATCTTGTTGATCAAGCTAGGTGAAGGCGCTCCGCCAAACTTGCCATCGGCGGAGCCCAAATTCGACATGGGTTGAGCCGCAGTCACCACGACATCTTTGCTCGACTTTCGTACATTGGGAGGAGCTGGAACAGGAGTTGATACTGCCTGCGGCGCTTTAGACGGGTTTCCAGATGGTGTCTGAGGTGTGGTCGGCTGTACTTCCGAGTCCACATGTTTGCAGAGGACTTCGATCCAGTTATCTCGCTCCATGTCACTCTCGGCGCACAGAACATGTCGTATTCCACCCTTTTTGACCTGTTCAATGATCAAAAACGCATGTCTGTAGTTCTTCTCGTCTGACGTTTCCGAAGGCCGGTTCTGACGCCCGATCTGCGCCCCCGAGATCACTATCGACCCAAGATGCTGACCGCCGCGCTGACGATTAGCCTCTGTCGACTCGGGATATGAGATTCTGTCTTACCGACTCGTAATACTCCATGACCGGACCGTCAAGGACAAAGTACCTTGTCTTCCACCCCCCGAAATTCTTCCCCTTTTTTGTCAGGTAGCCCTCTTTCATGGCGCCGCTCTGCTTTGCTTGCACCTGGTCGGTGCTGAGGAATTCGCAAAGGTCGGACTTGTCGCTCAACGGAGCGACCAGCAGACTCTGCAAGTATGTCTCCAAAGCCTTCTTCCTATGATCAATCTTGCTCGGCGCGAAATCCTTCCACGCTCTCCCTTCAGGCAGAGGAGCGATCATCGACTTCCACTCTTTTCGTCCCTTGCCCGATTTCGCCTTGACCTTCACATCGAGGTCCACGAATGCACTGAACAGTTTGGCAATGCTCCACGTGGTCGGCTGGGCATTCGGCGGGCGGACCGTTACAGACACGATGAAGCAGAGAACGTCTCGGCCCAGAGCATTGGGATAGACTGTACTGTTCACGATGGATAGTCTGGTATGCGGCAAAACGGCAGGTGTCATATGTCGAGGACGTGTTCCGTTTGGTGGTACATCGGTCAAAGATCGGGTCTCAGTCGATGGCCGAGGCGTCTCGTGTTCATTCGACGAGGAAGGAGCGTTGGATGTCGTTACCGAAGAGCCAGAATCATCAATTTCAGAGGTTGCCGGAGGCAATGACTCCTTCCTTGGAGGTCGCAAGGCTTCGATTCTGCCTTTGGACGCCTCTTCCGCTGATGTTCCCTCTGGCTCTTCATGAACGGTGCTCTCCGTCATCACTGCCGAGCCATAAGCCGGTGGAGGCACGGAGGGGCCCGATTGTTGACTCGGTGAGTGTTGCCCAGGGGTTACGTTGAGCGAGTGCTGGCCAGCGCCGGGGGGCAGATGCGGGGATTGCGAAGGGAAGGTGTGATGAACGTCTCGGGGGGAGTCGGCAAGGGAGATGAAGTTGGAGACCTCGGGTGGGAATGCCATTTGGCTTTCCCGCCGAAGCCTGGGTTCTGGGAAGGACAAGGGGGAAGGAAGTAGAGCCGGTGTTGGGTGATTGCTCGTGTGAGAGGTGGGTGGGGTCAGTGCTGGGGCAAACGTCGAGGATGGGTTAGGGTCCAACGGGCTGGAATGGCAAGAAGAGTCGGCCGAGGGGACCTGTAAAGTGGATCGAGTGGGTGTCTCGTCCCTGTCCGAGTTGTGCCGTCTAATAGGGGGCGCTTCGGCTTTCAACGCGAGGCCCACGGCGCTGGCGCTACTGGACATTTTCTTCGTATGTAACGGTCCCAAGCCTGCCTCAATGAGCCTCGAGTTGGCCCGATCCCTATCCGAGCGCAGCCTTTCGTTGTCGGCTGCTATGGACGCGCACTGGGCTCGCTGCTTCTCGATCACCTTCCAGAGTTGGGAGTTTTGCGCTTGCTAAGGATCAGCAATGGCCCTTCGGTCTTCGGTGAACAGGGCAGAGGGAGACGGCTTAAGGGTCGGATTCGGATATGTGGGCAGGGGGAGATCGTCACGCACCAGGCCATTGCGATCAGCTACTACAGCTTCCAATGCTCGTCTGGTATCCCCTCCATGGGTGCGGATGATCCCGTCGAGATCCACGCTGCCATGGAGGTTCGCCCTGGGACTGTTTGTCCTCGGGCTGCCTGCCGACCCACCGGCGTTGGACTGCGCAGGCGAGGCGGACGGGGAGGATCTCGTGCGGTGCGGGCGAGGGGTGGATTGGGAAGCCGGGGAGGAGGTCAGATGGGATGGTAGAGGCGTTGCCGTTGCCGTGGACATGGTGAAGTGATGATAGTGGGGGTGAAAGGGGTGAGGCCAGTCGACATGCGACTAGTTGTATGACCTTGGCTCAGCGTCCGAGGGGGTCTGTTGACTCCCGGTCCAGGCAGGTCCTTTGACTGGGTTGAATCCTGGTGGAGGGGTGATGGGGGGTGAGTAAGCTGGGAGCAAGAGGCAGAGGTCTGCTGCGGTGAGCTCGGTGGTTGGAGGAAGGAGAGGAGGGAGAGATGGGTAGTGTGATGGAATTGCGAGGGACGTGCTTAGCTGCCATCACTTACCTGTCAACAGGTGGACCTAGTTTTCGCCTGCCAGTGTGATCGTGTGCGAGGAGGGAGTGTACCCCGGATGGACGGTATGCGCTTGACCGTCCTGTCGCCTCGAGAAGACAATGTACGACCGATAAACAGACTTGATGTACCAGGGTTGGTGACCTCGGGAGGCCAGTGTCGAGCAACCGAGGTATTATTGGGATCTACGGTTGAACGGGGGGGGGAGGGGCTACGGGGTGGTGACATTCCACAACAGCGGTGAAAGCGGGGCTCGCCGCTTTGAGTTGGGTGGTAAAGGGGGAGATTGGATCCAAACAATTCACCCCCCGGGCCCAGCCGCAGCCACCACCACTCGGGCAGCGGCAATAATAACAACATCAGACCCCGCTGTCCCCCCGCCCCTTTCCCCCACCCCTTCGCTTCCACTTCGGCCCAGGGTCACAGATGGACCAGAACAAACCTACACACGTTCCACAAGACCACTGCGATGAATGGTTCGAGAACCGCTCACCCCCGTTTTTCTGGCTCTGACCACAACCATTTCATTTGCCGGACGTTGTGCATGCGAGCATTGTCGCACATGGATTCATCCAACTACCGATGCGAGCCTGTCTCGCTTGATGCGGCGCGGTCGAACGTTTTATGCATCGAAAAGCGGGATGGACAGTGCCAGAGATCGCCGGGACCAAATCCCCCTCCCCGAGCTCTTCTCAACCGTTCCAGAGGGCTTCGTCGCTATCGTCGAAGGTGTACAAAGCCCGTATGGTGTAGTGGTCTAGCACGTTGCTTTCCGGAGACGGTGTGCGGCAAGGGTCCGGGGTTCAACTCCCCGTGCGGGTTGCCTTTCCAGGTAAGAGATCATCTGGGGAGGTTAGTCTTTTGCGCGGGGCGACGAGGTTGAAAGGGAGGACGAGGTGGGGGTTGGTCGGTGCAGTCGATGCGACGGTGCTGCCCGTCTGGGCGAATGTGCCATTCCTCCATGGCGTTGAGCAAAAAGAAACCTGAGCAAACATGAACTTCATGTGGGGTGCAGTCGACGCAAAGGGGGGTGTGCCAGCGGTAGGAAGGGATGTGTGCGCGCGGGCTCGGCGGGCGAGTCGCATCGCCCTAGGGGTCCTTTTACACTCGGACAATGGGCCTGGCTATCACATCTGCTTGGAGAGGCGCAGCCGGGAGCCAGATCTCGTTATCTCATTGAGTACCCGTGATAGACGAGGAGGGGTGGAGATCAAGTCACGCCCGGACGGGATTCACGATTAGACGGATGTATTCTTCCGTCACCACCCTCCAATCTCGTCCAGAGTCCACTCTCGTCCCCCTCGCACCGTGTCGTATCCAACACGACAACACGACGAGCGTAGAGAAGCACATCGAGGCAATAGCAAGGCGAGAAAAGGACTTTCCCGCGCCTCACCATCAAAACAGCACGTGTGCACCATGGCGTCGTCGCATTTCTACTGCAAGTGAGCTCGACCGACCCTTCCCCGCGACTTCCGTTCCCGCTCACTCGTTCAGGTGGGATTTCTGCTCTTTGGCCTTTCGCTCGAAATCGAAGCTCGAGTCGCATCTACACCATGATCACGTCGCACACCAACGATCCGAAGAGGTGTTCTGCAAGCGCCGCAAGATAGCCCCGGGGACGTACATCCTCCTCTCGTCGCAACGTCTCGCTGGTGAGTTTGTTGACAGTCACAGTCATTGCGTCGTAGTACCGGTCCTCGATGTCCATTGGGCCCAATTGCCCTCTTGCACATGCTGACCACCTCTATAGACCGCCTCCCGATCCGCTTGTCCCAGACCACGGGGGATATCACGACGACGACGGTGATGACGGACGGTACGACGTTTGACCCGACCACCACCCCGCTCTACCCACCTTCCTTCTCGTCCCAGCCGCCGACTTTACCCTCCAGCTTCCTCCTCAACGAGCGGGACGGACACATGGACGAGCTGGACATGTACACGAACATCATCTCACCCCCCATCTCCCCGGACATCCCGCAGACGTCTCGACTGGGTTCGAAGGTGGTCCCGCAGCCGGCTCCACCGGGGTATGTCTCCTCGAGTAAGATGCCCCATGGCCGGAACGAGATTATCCCACCGACCCAACCGTCTCAATACGACTTGCTCACCTTGTCTTCATCGCCTTTTGATCCGCCTACACAACCTTTCTCCCATTACACCCCACTATCACCCTCCTCGTCCGCCTCGCCGTCTCATGTCGGCTCGTCCCAACATCCTTTCCCCCCTTCGCAACCAAACACCTCTTCGTCCTCTCACCCATCGTCGTCCCTGCCTCCTCACCTCTCCTCCCCCGTCCATTCGAATGAGGGTCGCCCGGAAACTCGACCCGACTTGCCGGCCACACAGAACCATTCGGCCCAAACAGACCATACCGACTCGTCTCCCCACCGTCCTGCCCATTCACCTACCGCTCCGTCCAAGCCCATCACGATGCCCCCGCCCGCTGCGCCCGTCGCCTCGTCCCACTCCGCCCCACTGGGCATCCAGCGCTCCCGCGCAAGCTCCACAGCGTCAATGACAACCACCCTGCAATTCGGCCAGTCGCCAGGCAAACCAACCAGCGTGGCTGCGCCTGCCACTGCGGATCACACTGTGTCAAGAGGGACAGAAGGCGATGCGGGTAGGAAAGTCAGCGGAGGATCGGCGGGCTCTCACGAGTCTGTCGCGTTCAGCTGGGGGCTCGGGAGCGGATGAACGAATCGGTTGGAACTAGCGGGCTGGACGAACGGGATGGACGGACAGGCCGGCCCAACGAGCTGGACGTATGAGCTGGGCCGACGAGCTGCACCCGACTGACGCATGGTGGGACCGGCTGAGCTCCTGGGGCTGGCTTGCGAGCAGCTCTGGCATCATGTCGCGCTAGGCCTCGCTACATGATACGACTGGCCAGCTTGCTAGCCAGCTTCTCGGCCATACCTCAGCGTTGCTGTACGTCGCGCAGCACAGGAGTTGCACATTGGCAATTGATCCCTACCGAGTCGCCCCCTCGTAACCTTGCCCATGGACAGCGCGGCAGGTCCAGACCTAGCAGGCATATCACGTAGAAAACCACGGCAGAGAGACACATTGCATTGTTGTATTACTCGTCGAGGCATCTATGAATCGTTACAAGACCTGTCTCACAGCACATCATCAACGCACCGTTGGCGATACTGTCCCCGTTCTCAATCAGATCTTACAGCACACTCGCACTTTCTCTCCCTCTTCCTGTCCAAGCGACCCACCCCGCACTACAACCCCCGGCTCTGTACTCGCCTCAACTCCTCCTTGCTCCGCTCCTTCTCGTAACTCCTCGCAAACGTCCCTTCCTCCTCGAAGCTCCTGACCAAATCCGACACGCTCTTGCTCCCATCCTTCTTCACCGGTATAGCAATCGGCTTGCTCGTCGTGCTAGGACTCGAGCGGGGCGTGTCAAACAGCGCTTTGATCGCTGACGATCGCTGGGTGAACGGAGGGTTGAGAGAAGGGTATATCTTGGGTGTGACCGGTTCAGCGGTGCTCGTCATTGCGGGCCGCGATGCGGAAGGGGTCGAAGACGAGGCGGTCGCGTGGAACGCCGGTCGGAACGCTCCCGGGATAGGCGGTGTTCTCCAAGCTGGCGAAGACGGGTGGGCCGGGGTGTTAGGCTGGTTCGGTACCTGTCGCATCGGTGTGCTGACCGGCTCAGCGGCGCGGGGCGCAGTCGAAGGGCTGGGGGTGGAAGCCGAAGGGACCGGGGGCAGAGCTTCATCTCTGACCTCCCTCAACCGCGTGAGGAGTTTGTTCTCGACCCTCTTCCCCGGTCCCTCTTTGAAGACCTCGTCGCTTGACTTGTCCGCTGCCGAGGGCTTCCCCCGGGAGCTCACATACGACTCGTCCTCCTCCCCCTCCTCGACCACCGACGTATCGCCACTGGGTCGAGACCAGACGTATCCCAACATGCGGCGTATAGTCGAAGGCGGGACGATGGACACGACCGTCGAGTCTCCTTCTCCAACGCTCGATCGTCTTGGCGTTGACAAGACCTGCTCCTTCCGCTTCTCCTCCACTCTGGGTTTCTTTCCATGACGCTTGTCGAGGTCATCTCGCTCCTTGTCGTCTTTCTCAGGCCGGGGGGCATTGACCCGCTTTTCAAGAGCCTTGACTCGGAGTCGGATCATTTTCCTGCTCGTCAGTCTTGCTCCACACTTTGTTCATCAAAGCCCAAACTCACTCTGCCCATTCCCCGCCTAGACCTTGAGCATGCTCCTCAGCCACGAACCGCCTGACGACCCTCTCATTATCCCATTCTTTCGGCTCGTCTACCGCTCCCGTCAACGCCTTCTTCGCCCATCCAAACAGCCCGGGCAATGGCTTGATCTCTCTTTCCTTCGTCCACGCCTCTTTTTCCTTTCGGAAAGTCTTCTCGAGCCTTTTCCACTCCGGAATGCCCCACGGGCGACCGTCCTGTCGTTCCTTCTCCTTGCCCTTCTCCACCCTCACATCGTCGTGATCATCGTTCGCGACCTGCTCCTCTGCCATTGACGGCAAAATAGCCCTGTGCAGTGACTTGGACCTTTTCCTCTTCTGTCCGGGGGTCCGCTTCCATCCTCCAGGCAACGCATATTCAGTCTCGTCACTCTCCCATCCTGTCGCCGTGCTCTCTGCGCCCAGACTCTTTGCCCGGCTGCGCGATCTCGATCGACGACTTTGCACAATCTCAAGCTCGGCTTCGTAGAGCAACTCCTCGGGGTTGAGCTTTCGAGCCGACTCGGCAGTCGCAAAGTGCTTGGACTCGAACGCCCTGCGTCGTCTCTCCGAGCGAGGTGTTCGGGTGCCAATTGCCCCGGGAGTAGAGGGCGTGGGCAGGGGGACTGTGCTAGTCGATGGCGTAGTTGAAGAAGGGAGAATTCCGTGCTCGATGTACGCGTGATTCTGCGATTAGCATGACTCGCAGTATGCGTTTCAAAGACAAACGTACCAGCTTCAAGATTGCAGCAGCGCGTGCGGCAGCACGAGGATCCATGGATGACACCTCTACGACGGATCGGAAGCTCTCATCACCGTCCTGGAAGGAGCTGTCCCCGAGTGTGGCATGCGCCAGTTCTTCACCAAGAGAACGGCGGGCTTGTCTTCGTAATTCCCGAATCTCCTCCTGAGGCGCCTCTTCATCCGCAGGGGCGTCCTCGGCAGAGGCGACCAGTGACAAACGGGAAGGACGAGCGACAGCAGAGCTCGATGATACCGATTGCCGTCGGACAAGCATAGACTTGAGTGAGGAGACAGCACCTCCGCTGGCATTGGCGAATCGATGAACAGATGGCGAAGGCGATGGTTGAGTGGGAAGATTTTGCGAAGTCACGTTGGAGGTCGAGGGTTCTTCGGCCACGGTAGAGTGGGTCGGTCGGCTATCAATGAAAGTCGAAGCAGCCGACTCTGAAAGTGCAGAAGCCGACTCAGTAGGCCCATCGGCCCGAGATACAGACACGTCGGAAGGACCTGACGATCCGCTCGCCTGGACGCCAGCCAGGCTTTCACCCATTGCGGTGACGGACGCTTCCTGACTTTTCTCCGCTTCGTCCTCCCTGTGCGCAGCAGCGTCCGTGGTTCGGGGAAGGGAGACAATCTCTGACGGGTCGGATGGTCTTTCAACCTTTACGATCCCCCGATTGACGACGCGAACCACGATGCGGCTGGACTTGCGAGCCGGAGGCAGCTCCTCTTCGCCCTCCTCTTGTTCATTGCATTCCTCCTCTCCTTCCATTTCGGCATGTGCGTCTCCGTTCTGCTCATCACCAGCGTCGGCCGGCAGCGCTGCTTGAGGCGAGACTTGTTCACCGACCGCGCCCGCCTCAACG